CTGGAGTGCAGGAGGGAGACCTTAGGATAAGCTTGGGCAAGCAGTTAGCTTAGGAGGATGTTCGAGCTTCCCCAGGGAGATGTGCCAAAGTACACCCTCCACCCACCCCAACACTTGAAGATTTGGACATATTCCCAAGGTGGACAAGCCAGATCTCTTGGAGAAGGCAGGGGCTGACCACAGCTAAAAGCACACATACAATGAACACAGTGCCCCATTCTTCATGTTTCTCTCATGCGACTGGACCACATTCAGCATCCACTCCCGACTCTTCTCTACCCTCCACCAGAGGAAAGGAGTGCATGACTGGTACATGTGGGAAGGAGACTGACTGCAGAGAACAAGAATTCCTTTTGTCTGTGCCATCCAAGCTGGTAGGCAGGAGGCCTGCCAGCCTGGCCCAAAATTGCCTGCAACTCCGCCTTCAGCTCCAGCATCGACCCAGGCTTTGTCAGTGGTGATGATGATGCATTTGGCCTCTGTCCACTGACATCTTGTCCTAATTTACTGTGAGCTTAAAACCTGGGTGAGGAAGAATGAGCTATTATCAGACCATCCTTATCCTGAGAAGGCCCAAGGCACATCAGAATCTGTGAGGAAAGACAGATGTCATCTGAAAAAGCTTCTCACACCAATATAACACACATAGCAAGAACAAGCAAGCAGAGCTGGAGAAGGCTGAGGATAGAACCAGAATACCAGCATTTAAGTGGAGGGCAAAAGGGGATTTGTTTCTGACGGGCAGAGGAAACAGAATCACAGTGCCAAGCATGCTAACCAGAGGCTACAGTCTTAACCAAGATGGTCTGTGTGTGTAGGAAACAAAAGTCTTCCTCATTCATACAGATAACACAGGGCAGAGAAATGGCCTAGGCTCTTTCTTAGAACTCTTTCTATCCAAGGTCCAAGAACCTGAGGCTCAACCAAGTTAGCAGTGACCTTCCAAGGGAGGACACTGAGTAGCTAAATGAAACTTTAGGACACTTACAGTCCTCCTCTGTCCCTTGAGCAGAGACACTCAGAGTATGATGATGGATTAGCAATGCACTATGATGTCTTCCTGGTCATATGATGTAACTTTAGTCTCTCGTTATTATAATACTTAATAAAAACTTCATGTCTACTACTTTCTTATCACAAGCAACACCAATACTTTTATCAATCTCTCCATTTGGGTGTCTGACCTAGGAGCGAGTAGGAGCAAGGGGTGTTTCTTGCCCTGGCCAAGGTCTCAGGCCACCCTACTCCCTGGGGCTGAGCCGCCAGCTTCTCACCACCCTCTAGACGACAGATGTGCTGCCTGCTGTGCTGCCCCAGGCCCTCTGCCTCTTCTGACAATAATATTAATTAGAAGCGTTTTCCCTGATTACAGAAATAAGAAATTTGCTTTAGAAAACTGAAAAAATATAGGGGCCGGCCCAGTGGCGCACTGCTACAGTGCGCCACTTGGGAGTGTGGCGGCGCTCCCGCCGAGGGTTCGGATCCCACATACAGACCGGTTCCCGCTCACTGGCTGAGAGAGGTGTGGGCGCAACATCGAAGGTTGCGATCCCGTTGCCGGTCCCGGTCTGGTACGGGCACAACACTGAGGGTTGCGATCCGTTGCCGGACACGAAAAAAGGCAAAAAGGAAAAAAAAACTGAGGCACAGAAAAAAAAGACTTAAAAATTTTTTTTTAAAACCAACAGAGCTTTGATATTACNAAAAAAGACAAAAAGGAAAAAAAAAAAAAAAAAGAAAACTGAAAAAATATAGTAAAGTATAAAATAAATAAAAATTACTTATTCAGCAACCTCACTTCTAAAAACCTATACTATGGCAAGATACCATCCATTACAATAGCCACTAGCCACATATGCCTACTTAAATGTCCATTAATTAAAGTGAAATAAAATTTAAAACTTAGTAAAGTGCTCAGGAGCCATATGTGGCTAGAGCCTACCACAGAGGACAGGACAGATGAAGTCACTTCATCACCACAGAAGGTTCTGTGCCACTGGGCAGGGCAGGGCTGCTACAGAAACAGTCACAGGAGCAGACGTCCCATGCAGCACTGTACAGCAAAAACTGAATGCAGCAAAAGGAGAGAACAGTTAAATAAGTGGTCACATTTACTAGACATACAAATAATAAAAATATGAGGCAGACATATGAACAAACAGAAAGAAGACTCTGATATGTTAAATTTAAAAGTATACTGCAAAACAAGATATGCATTTTAACATCATATATATATGTAGATACTTATGTAATCTCTAAAGACACTGAAAAATATGCACAAGGATGTATCAAACTGTTAGTGGCAGTAGAAAAAAAGAGGAATTGGAGAGAGAAATGGGAATTTTCACTTTCATTTAATTTACTTCTAAACTTTTTTGTTGCAACCAGCATATATTAATTACTCCTGTATTAAAAAAAGAGAAAGAGATTTTTAAAAGCGGCCTACTTTTAGAAAGACGGTTTACCAGTAAGCCCAGAGGATATGACAGTCTACTCAATTCTTTTTGAAACTGATACTTCCACTCTTTGGTTACTTTGAGTGGAACCAAAAATACTTTTCTGAAGGCAGGAGGAGCCACAGCCGCATGCTCCTCCAGCTCTGGCCTCCTGTCAACTCTCGTCCCTGCCCTGTTTCCTCCACTTACACTCTTCCCTCTGTCTTCCACTGCTCACTCTTTCTCATACCTTTACAAACCTACCAAGATGATACTGCCCTCTCACAACGCAATAGGAAGGAGGGTCTCAGCAGATGTGCTTCTCCCCAGCAGAACAAAGCACTGTTCTGCCCTCAGCCTGATCCATGGGAGCAGTAAGAATGAGGGAAACGAACTGGAAAGGACGGGCAGCAGCACAGACATTTTAGACACCACTTTAAACACAAATCCTATCTATGAAAGTAAGTCTCAGAACAAACCACATCAAATATAAGACCACCTCTAGCATGTCAGATGAGCAATTATGTTCCAAATGTGATGGGTTTATTTTATTTTACTCTGATGCAAAACCAAAGATTCCACTACAGCACAGAGACCAATATATTAAAAGGTCATGAAAAAGGTGTGGGACATGCAGGACGTGATGTACAACTGGAGGGTCGGGTTGTTTCCTTTAACATGACACTACATTGTTGCTGAGGAACACACTTAAATTAACACTGCAGAACTGAACTGAAATGTGGCACAAACATGACAACTTCCAGGCATGCCTTCAAGTACCTCCCTTAGGATGGACCTGCAATCTCTAGACTTCAGTGTGGGGAGGATTACAATTCTTTGGAAGAATAAAAAGTTCACACTTTTGAAATTTCACAAAAGAATTTTAAGGCTAAAACAGTGGGTTCATTTCTCTTCACTTCCAGGGACAAACCTGATGCTTTACTCAAAACCACATTAAGCTTCCAGTTCAAATCCCAACCCAACTTTGTGGCCTCCTGCATTGAAGTTCTTTCCATCAATTAAAGCTGATAAGGTCAGTTTGACTCCTGGTCGAAGGGTCTGAGTATAACCCAGTCCAATCAGGCTGGCATTACTTACTTTAGCAGATAGAGAAGTTCTACAGTCCAGCTTGTATTTAGCAGCAATGCCAAAACGGGTGTTGTTACTGCCAGCAGTCCAAGCAAGGTTTATTGACGTTTCAATCTTCTCATTCACCTTCTGGTAGATAGAACCTCCAAATTCAGTGCCATCATTCACATGAGTGTGCAGCTGGAAGTCTGCAGCCTTGTAACCCAGGGCAAAATTATTCTGTGACAGTTTGGATTTGGCCGTGTCAAAACTCATCTGATATCCTGCAAGCCAACCTTCAAAGGCCAACACAGCCCAACCATAGATGGTTGGTTCTGCAAAATCTATATCAACGTTACTGCCAAGACTGAAACAATCCCTTCTATAGGAGGCCTTCAATTTCCCACTCTTCTTTCCTGTATTCGGTACAAATATGGTATCAAGAGTCAGTTTCAACCCTTCAGCCAACTTATTCTCCCAAGAGATTTTTGTCCCAAGAGTATTGTCTGTGTTCCATTTTTGGGTGAAGGTAAGTTTCCCTCCTGCACAAGAAGAAGAGAGCACGGAAAGATGGAAAATATTCACGCCCGGCGGCCTCTCAGGGTGGTCAGTGGTCTGACTGCTGCTTCCAGGATCCCTCACAAAGGCGAGCGCACCGGTCATCCCTATATAGGATCCGAACCCGCGGCGGGAGCGCTACTGCGCTCCCAGCACTGCATTCTCCCGAGTGCACCACAGGCTCGGCCCTCCAGCAAGTTTTTAAAAAACACTGTGCAGCCAAATACTCCTGTGTACTGAATTCTTTGAGACGCCAGTATATAACATCCGACAGTGGTTACAGCATGAACTCTGGTGTCAGAAAAACAGATCTGGGTTCAAATCTTGGCACTACCATTTACTATGTGACCTTGAGCTAGTTACCTGACCTTTCTATGCCTCGGTTTGCTCACTTGTAAAATAGGGATAAGGATAACACTATTCACCACTGAGTAGTTGTGAGAATTAAATGAGATAATACATGTAAAGCCCTTGGCATAGTACCTAAAATTGAAGAGCTCAATTAGTGTTATTATTAAAAAGAATTATTAATAGCAACAGGAATAGTAATCCAATCCCATGAATTTGCAGATAAGAAAATTCTGAGGCCAAAGAGATAAAAGGACTTGACAAGGTCAGACAACAGCTAAATATAGGAGGAGCTAGGACTAGATCCCACATTTCCCAACTACAGGTATAATACTCTTTTTGTTGCACAAAAGAGCTAGCTCATTAAAGAGAATAAAGAACATGCAATCTACAACCATATACCAACATTCATTTACAACTCAGATGAAAACATAAGGGCAGATCCAATCTGGCAGCACATTCACATTCTTACAGATAGAGAAGTTCTACAGTCCAGCTTGTATTTAGCAGCAATGCCAAAACGGGTGTTGTTACTGCCAGCAGTCCAAGCAAGGTTTATTGACGTTTCAATCTTCTCATTCACCTTCTGGTAGATAGAACCTCCAAATTCAGTGCCATCATTCCTATTTTCATAGTGTAAGAAAAAGTCATATTTAGTTTGTACCACTATTACGAATAAGGAAACAAATTCTAAGACTATCGAAACAAGGATCCCATTTTGTAAAACTACAGACTTCAGCAAATGTCTAGGATAAATGAGTACTGAACAAGGAACTAAATCCAGTTATGCAATTTATAACCACCTAATTAAAATGCAGTAACACTTGATTCATTTATTTGGCTTTTCCACATTACGTAAATTTCTTAAGACAATTCAATTACACACAAAGGCAGACACCTCAGGTAAATATAATCTACAGGTCTCCTTGGGACTTTCATAGAATTTAGAAACTTCAAAGTAGAGTTCAGTAAAGATTCTGCAAAAATAGATACAGACGGAAAGAGATAGAAGTACAAGAATAAAGCCAATTCTAGATTTCATTTAAAACACAATCCTAGAGTTAGAAAGCACTCTCCCTACAATACCTAGGGAACACTGCTCCACAGAAGTACCTAAATTATTGCTTCAAAGCATCCCAGAAGTTAGTCTTTGAGTTTTCATGGTTTTCCTGATAACACTGTTTGATAAATTTCGTTTCATCAATTTTAATACTTGTGTCTATACCACTAACTTTATTTTAGCCGTCATAAGTGAATTAGAATATCTAGCAGAGAGCAATCTGCAACACTTCAAAAACACATAGCTCCGGCCGGCCCAGTGGTGCACTGCTACAGTGCGCCACTTGGGAGCGTGGCGGCGCTCCCGCCGAGGGTTCGGATCCCACGTGCAGACTGGTTCCCGCTCACTGGCTGAGCGAGGTGCGGACACAACACCGAGGGTTGCGATCCCGTTGCCGGTCCGGTACGGGCGCGACACTGAGGGTTGCGATCCGTTGCCGGACACAAAAAAAGGAAAAAAAAAAAAAAAAAACACATAGCTCACCCTTTGCTTTTTCTTCCTGGTATAGCAGCAGTTTCCAGTAGGCCAAGACATAAAATACAATTTAAAGTTCAGATTCATTTGGACAACAGGGTGCAGCCTACATAACTGACTCCCAGGAATGCTTTGGGGACTCCTGTTACATCTGAATGTGATAAGTGTGGCTGGTTCCAACCAGGGATACCTGAAAACCTCCAGAGAATTACTGGGGATGCTCTAGGATGCTCAAATCAATTTGGTGGTTTTCTTGGTGATCCAAACAGACCTGCTTCCAGATACTGCCAAGATGAGTGGGGCACCAGAGAAAGCAGACACATCTCCTAAAGATCCCTTTTACCAAGAGGTAAACCATGCTCTGGGCTCTCTCCAACCCAGTGGTTCTTCTACAAATTTTACAGCTTTCTGAAGTTTGGGGTAAAGGCTGAGAGGCCAGTAACTACCAGCAGCACAGCACCATGCATGAAGTGCACTAGCCTCCTGGCAATGTTCTGCTGACTATGAGAACAGCACAAGGTTGTCCACCAAGGAATACTACATGCAAGTGCCAGTACTTCTAATCTTCTTCTCATGCTAATGGCCACCACATTTTTTAATGACTGCACTGACACTGAAGAAGAAATGAATTATAAACACTCACACATGAGTGTGCAGCTGGAAGTCTGCAGCCTTGTAACCCAGGGCAAAATTATTCTGTGAGAGTTTGGATTTGGCCGTGTCAAAACTCATCTGATATCCTGCAAGCCAACCTTCAAAGGCCAGCACAGCCCAACCATAGATGGTTGGTCCTGCAAAATCTATATCAACGTTACTGCCAAGACTGAAACAATCCCTTCTATAGGAGGCCTTCAATTTCCCACTCTTCTTTCTGTAAAAAACAAACAAAGAAATAAAAACAACACAATGTAAACAACGTGAGTTTCTACTACTGTCCAGGAATCTTTAGGGTAAGATCCTCTCTTTCCCCCAAAGTAAATATTATTTTGGTAGATGGCATACATTTGGTAAAAATGTTTCAAATGACCTAGCTCTACAAATATAATTTTGTTAGGATTAGAAGTGCATATATTATTATCTATTCCTCACTGTAAATTCAAATGTTAGGGTACTTCATAATTTCATAAAGGCATGAACAAAAACACAAGGAGGAATAAGATATTTCAGTAACAAATTAATAATCTGAAGATGTATGTATACAGACATATGAGAAATCAAATCTCTTTAAATGTTGCCAAATGCCAAATGCCACAGAAAGTAACACCCAACACACGTTATTAACCTACCATGGAGAGAAGTGTACATTTTTGAAGCACAATACTGAAAACACAAAATTAATTCTTAATAGTCTTTATCCTATTCCAATCAAGCCTCTTACAAGAATATTTGTCATTTACATAACAAAGTGTGTGGCAGGAAGGACACACTTGTTGTTACAGCTGATAAGAAATGCCAATTTGCATTGATATTATTTATCATTATTATCTGTCCTTCAGATAGCATGGACCCATGTTAGGCAGATAGGAAATGACACAATCCCCATTTTCATATGAGGAAACTGAGGCCGAGAAGTTGGAGGATTTAAAGAGGCTAAGGAATCAAGTTGGTAGCAATGTTCTAGAAATTAACTTCTCAGCAGAATACCACCCCTTCCATAATCTTCAGAATAGCTTAAAATATATCTGTGGTCTCAAGACTCGTCAAGCTCCTAAACTTTTTATACCCTTTGTAATAAATTTATAAATTTTTGTGGTGTTGTAACTCTAAGGTCAAGGGTTCGGATCCCCATATCGGCCAGCCACCAAAAAAAAAAAAAAAATCCTAAATTTTTGTTCATCTGTTGAATTTTCAAATCAAAATTTTATCCTGCCTCAAGGGGGTCTTCCTCTATCCTCACCACATACACAGGCCTCTTGTATTCCAAACAGCAACCTCCTAACTTCTTCCTGCCTCAAACTTTTCATTGCATCTCCTTATTCTAAAGCTCTCTATCCCTTCAAACTCCAAAAACATTTCAGAAAATAGGATTTGGATAATTACCCTGTATTCGGTACAAATATGGTATCAAGAGTCAGTTTCAACCCTTCAGCCAACTGAAAAATAAAGATTTAAAATGGACAATTAGTAATTTTCAATTCTTTATTCAACTCAAGAAACTAATTCTAAAGTTTCCTCTTCCTTTGTCTAGTGTTGAATATACTAATTATCCTGACTTGAGCAGCACATATTGCACAAAGGTATTGATAGTCAACCGCACAGATATGTACAATCAACTATGTTACAATTTAAAAAAAAAGAAAAGCTTCCTCTTCCTCTTTAATGAAAAAAGAAGTCATTAAAAAAGCCAAATATTAAATTACATAATAAATTACCTCCCTATCCTCTCCCGTCCCCTCCCTCCTCTCCCCTCACCCCTAGCCTTCATCCTGGTTCTCCCACCAAAAAATGGGTTCAAATGTATAGGTCAAATCATATTACAGCAAATAACATAAATTACAGTACAAAAACAACAGAATTATAAGACAACAAAATAATCTTGATATTTCTTGAAATTATTATAATGAGATAACAAGCCCACCTAAGTAATTTACTCAGCTATACATGTATAATATCTATATATGGTAATGAGCATATAGACATAACTCAAAAAACAGTGCCCTGTACATAGTAGGCACTTCACAAATATTGCTAATACATTTTTTTCCTTGAAAACATCAGAGATTTGTCAAAACACTTTTCTGCGGAGCCAATTTTGCAATAATTACAAAACTAAATTACTACGAATAGTTTGTTCTACCCAGGAGAGGCTCAGCTGTATAACAGAATAAAGAGAAATGGTCAGAACAAAGATGTAATGTGATCATTTAGAATACTCACAAACAAAGGCTTATTTTCTGGAAACATTAAGACATACCAAAAAAGGCCACAAATATAAAAATCTTGTTCAGATTATATTTGGAGTTTGTTCATCATTCAGTCAGCAAGGTAAATCAAACCTAAAGAAAAAAAAACTTCTAGTGCTTTCTCTTACCTTATTCTCCCAAGAGATTTCTGTCCCAAGAGTATTGTCTGTGTTCCATTTTTGGGTGAAGGTAAGTCCATAGTTACAGATCTTATATTTGGTCTCTAGGTTGCCTGATGCTTTTCCTGTATCAGTGTAAGCATGACCAGACGTAGAAAATTCCTGGTAATCAAGGAAAAATAATTACTTTAAAACTAGCTCATCAACTAGAAAATATTCATTTCAGAAAGTAATGTTCAATGCACCTCAAACAAATACAATTTACTTTTTACCACAGCCCTACTCTACAGCAACTCATTTCCACTTTTCTTCTATCTTTCCAATCTCTAAATATTTTAACCAGTTTTAGATCTTTCCATTACTCCACTGCTCTTCACTGGTATTTTTTGTTCCATATGCTCTCTTATTAATTGGGAATCTTAAATTCTTTCCTTAAAAAAGAAATATCTTTACTGAAAGTAAATGCCTTTACTAAAAAGACAAAAATATTGAATCTTAAACATTTTACTTTCATGACTGAAAAAGATGATCAATTCTCTAAGATACCTTTCATATTATTAGTTAATTTAAGGATTCTTAAAAATCCCAAAACACTATCCCTTACCCCCCTTTAATAGGGTCAACACTTTATTACTTTTTAAAAACATTAAAAAAAATTTTATTGTGGTAAAATAGACTTAACATAAAATTTACCATTTTAACAGTTTTTAAGTGTACAGCGAAGTGGTATTGAGTACATTCACATTGCTTTTGTCCACAAAACTATCTGTAAAACTTTCAACATAAACAATCTCAATATTTGAAAGTATCTACCCATTTTTCACAATAAAATAGAATGCTGTAATTTATCCCTCTTTCCCCCTTCTCCATCCTGTCTACCTTTTAAAGTGCTTTCTCAAATAGCTATTATAAATGCTTTAATATATATCCTCCTTCCTAGTTAAGTATCCTTTCAGTCATATGACAATAAGCAATTAGAAAAAGATCTCCATCTAAGGGGAAGCAGTCAACACCTGTCACTGACAATCTATGAACGGTCAAGAAAAAAACATTCTGATTGGCCCTGTTTTTAAGGAGCATTTCTGAAATACTGCCAACAGTAATGAAGTGCTGCCAACCCTGACCAGTTCTCTTTCACCACCTGCAATACAAATCCTCCCTTTCACAAATACCCTGCTTCCTAACTCTAGTCCTACAGGCAGATGAAACTGGGAAACTATGATCTGTTTATCAACACCACACAGAAAGCTTCAAAGAGAATAACATGCTGCACATTAAAGACATGGCCTTAGTAAAAAAAAAAAAGAAAAAGAAAAAGGATTAAACATTAGTCATGTTTAACAGTTCCCATAATTCTTTAATGTGGCAGTCATTTTCTTTTAGTAGATCCAACTATCCAATGTTTTACTTTTTACATTTACCTTTTACAACCTTGACAAGTATAGCAAATGTAAATCTTAATTTTGGTGTTAGGGAAACTTTATGCACAAAATTAAGGCAAACAAGTAGTCTACATTTCTTCCTTGTTATCGTCATCATATCTAAGTGTGAAGCTCCATCAAAAATCTAAAATAGGCTGGCCGGTTAGCTCACTTGGTTAGATTATGGCCTTCTAACACTAGGGTCATGGGTTCAGATCCCCGTACCAGCCAGCAACCAAAAAAAAAAAAGCTAAAATACTAGAGATACAAGAGGCTGGCCAGTTAGCTCAGTTGATTAGAGCATGGTGATGATTAACACTAAGGTCCCAGGTCCAATCCCTGTTCCAGCCAGCCACCAAAAAATAAATTAAATAAAATACTAGAGGTACAAATCTGAAAGAGAAGGCTAAAAATGCTGTAAAGTTGAGTTCCAGGCTTACAATTGCTTCAGTTTTTGTTTAATTTCATAATTAGGTCAAAACAAGTGTAAAGTACATTTATAACATGCATATAATATCCACAGCTCTACACTAAATGTTAGTAAACAATAAAACAAACAAAAATGTTAAATAGATGGCAGATGATAAAAATATCAAGATACACTTTAAGAAATTTGGAACAATGAATAAAATTTATCCTAAATCAATACCAGAGACCAAAAGCAGGCACAGAAACTAGCACACAAATAAGCTTTTTTTCCTTACCATCTGAATATTACCACAACGCAGCAGCATGAAAGGGAGACAAAAAATTTAGTTGATGATTTTTGTAACACAAACCTAACTTGAGCGAATTCTGAAACCTCCTCAATATGAGTATAGTGATTTTTCTATTTTAACAGAACCATATATAGAATAAGCCCATCTCAGTAAGGTAGGTACACATATATTTATTTACACTAGAGAAATCTAAGGAAAGAATGATGGTGACAAACCAGGACTATACAGAGTACAAGGCAAAGTACTGTAAGAATTCCACATGCCTTTTGTTCTTCTATTTAAATCATAACCAGACATAAAATTTGCACAGGTCTGAATGGGTAAATACCAAAAAAACATGTGGCCAATGAGAAGAAATCAGAGAATTAAATGAATGAAAAGTGAATCCACTTGTTGAGATTTACTGAATAAAAGCTCTGGTTAATGATGCTTTGAAAGTATGACAACATATCTTTTACTATATTCTTAACTAACAGTAAAAAAGACTTTATGAACACCAGTTAAAAACTGTAGAATAATATTTTAAATGCATACATGTAGAAATACATTTTATTTCTACACTTTGTTTCAACTAATCATAAAGGGGACAGAGACTAAATTTACTTTTATAAAAAGGCAGTAAAATTTACATGAACCTATTATAATGGAAATAAAGTTTTTAATACCCATATACACACTCATGAAAGTATAAGATATGACATGGGTCAGAAAATATATATTCCCTATCTTCTGAGAGTAAGACACAGAATAATCATTATGACAAAGGGTCTAGACAAAAATTCAACCTGGTGGTCTACGGGTTTTACAGGACGAAGTTTCACATAACTAAACAATGATCTTTAAACGGGTTCCTTTAACTTAATCATGCTATTAATATATAATTTTAATATATTAAAAATATCTTAGGTACTCACCACTCCACTACAAGACTTGGTTTTCAGATCTATTTTGACCATGCCAAACCCTAGACACACACACACACACACAAAAACAAAGTAATGTACAAAATGTGACTGACATTCACTCTACTTTATGCAACTCAGAAATTATGAAATAGTCCATATGTTCCATATGGAAAATACATAATACTCTCATTAGGCAAGAGTTCCACAAGAAACTAAATTACAATGAAATAAGCCCCTAAAAATGAATAAAGACATAACTTTTAAATTTGTTAAAGAAAAAATGCATGAAAGAAATATGCACTATTCCAAGTTATCAAAATTACTAGAAAAATATGCCAATATACATACCAGCTTAAAATATACATTTAACATTACAACCTAATAAGAAAAAAAATCAAATGTGTACAGCACAAAAATTTAAACTTTAAAGATTAAACTTTAAAACACAAAAGTTAATGTGTATATGGGAATCCAAGAATATATGTTACTCCAAAGAAGTCACAAATTGTGTCTTCACTTTCATAAAACAATGCCATTATTTGGAGGGGGGAAAAGTACCCCCTACTTTAACTGTCCCCAAGGCTAGCCAAAAGAGGCACAAATATTATAGATTTATGTGATTTTATGTTACAGATAATATTAAATATGTATATGCATGTATATATGTATATAATTGCTTTTAATGCTTGTAAGGGACTCTACCTCTAAAGAAGGACGTCTAATAGCCTGTTAATAGTTACCCCTTATGTCTCATGAAGCAGATTAACGTAGACTTACCCATATTTTACCAGCACAGCATCTTGCACACAGTAAGCACTCAACACTAACCCTTACCCAAAATTGGAAATTTACTATAGCATACTTACCATATCCTTTGTTGAAGACATCCTTGGCAGCCTTTCCTAGGTCACAGTAAGTCGGTGCGTTACACATAGCTTATAAAGAAAAATGGGGATAAAGGAATAAAAATAACCGTTTGGTATTTATTCACCCATAGTTCTTCCACTGTTCATCCTGTGGGAAGAGGTATATGAGTACAGCTTTCTCTTTCTTTGCATCATTTATGCTTATACTCTATGCACTCAAAGTTAAGAGAAGGAGGCATTCTGCTCCTTTAAAAAGAGTTTTCCAGAACACTGGAGAATAAAGGCTTTTCCCACGAGATTCACAGTGGTCATCTTTCTGATTGCATTTCAAAGAAAAGAAAGTTCTCGCAAGCTGAAGGAGATGCTTTGAAACTGAACTTATTGTTTTCTTCTAATGCAAAAATTACCTTAGAAAAATCTTCTCTGGACTGTTATAAAGCCAAACAGCTGTATAAAGCAACAAAGTAAAATTTTTAAGGAACTATAAGAATAGATGCAATCAAAATCCTCAAGGGTTAACATTCTGCTACTCTAAAATTCAGTTCCTAAAATAAGACTTCCCATATTAACTGAGAAATCGTTATAAAGCCAAACAGCTGTATAAAGCAACAAAGTAAAATTTTTAAGGAACTATAAGAATAAGATGCAATCAAAATCCTCAAGGGTTAACATTCTGCTACTCTAAAATTCAGTTCCTAAAATAAGACTTCCCATATTAACTGAGAAATCTGCTCCTTCTCAAAGCTTTCCTTAACATGCTATAACTGTACCCATTAACCAGAAATAGGACAGATTCCACCTGCAGTAGCCCGCTTGCTAAAAAAAAAACTGATGTAAACTCTGAAGTAAAAGCCTTCAGAATCCCAAAGCGCTCTGACTTTTCGCCTTGCCTACTCATGATTAACCCAACTTTTCTAATTCCACTACGGCCCTCACATCAAATTCACAGAAGCTATGAACACTGCTGAATACACCATTCCTTGCCCTCTTTGTACAGCGTGGAATCTTTACCTGCAGCAGGTTCTGTTGTGTCCTTACTGCAGACTCAAAAGCCATAACTAACCAATTATAGAACCACTTTAAGCAGTCCCATTAGCCCAACTACTATACCAGAAAAATCCAGAGTACCAGTTAGCCCTCGCAATTACTATGCCTGATCTACACATTCAAACTAATATTGACTTATATTCAGCCCAACTCTTAGTCCAGACTTCTGCTAAGTTTCTGCCTATACCATCACACCTGAACATACACTTCTGATGCACTTTTTAACTGGGAATTCACTTAAAATTTGTTCCTTAACGTAAACCTGTCAAATATGACAGACACCATGATATAAATTTAAGGGGAAAGAGTATTGTATAAAAACTATATATGAAGTTAAGAAAGAGTAGTATAAATGTACTGACTTCATGACATAATAGAAGTTTGCTATGAACTACAAGGTTTCATAGTTCACTTCCACAGCAATTACTTTACAATTCAATTTCTTGTACTCAAATTATCGAAGCTAGATTTTTTACATATTCCCAATTCCAATTTGATATCATTACTCTTTATGATCCAAATTGACGCTGGTATCTGTTGAAATTATGCCAGAAGTCTATAATTTGGGAGTATATAAATACAGGTAATACATACTCAAACAGAAATGTTGAAGCTTTACAATCTGGTTTTTCACAATGACAAGAGAAAAGACATACTTAAATGTTCCGAAACACCATATATACGTCTGGAGACTAATTAAAGGCCTTTTAGCATTTTGTTTTCTAATTTTTCAAAACAGTACCAGATGCTACGCAGAAGTCGTGTGGCTCGTTTAGTTTAACGGACATCACTTCTGCCTAGTTCGAGCTCACTTTCTCAGGCCCAGGAGTCTGCTGGGAAATGCACTGCTGGGGTGATCAAGCAAAAATCGAGGGCACGCAGGGGCTGCACGTTACTCAAGAGGAGAGCTGTAGTCGCACGGCCGACGGCTCTACGAAATGCACTTGTTTGCAGACACACGAGCACCACGCACCGAGGCGCTAACTGGGCGGTACTAACGTGAGAGTCGGCGGCGAGCCCCTGCTGTCGC